CTCTCTCTCTCTCTCTCTCTCTCTCTCTCTCTCTCTCTCTCTCTCTCTCTCGCTCCCCTCTGACACTGACAGGGGCAAAATACCTCTGCATTAAAGGGAACAACATTTCCAGCAGGTGACAAGGCTTCATGCTATGGATTTCAGAACAAACAACAGTTTTATAGAATATTCATGACACACCAGGCTGGTGTTGCTTAGGAGACATGCATACAGCTCATGTTTATATGTCTACAAGCAGATGGTGATTATACCCGGAGATTTTGAGGACCATTCAAATCATCATTTCTTTCTCAGCAAACACTTGTGACTATAGCCAGGAAGTACAAACAAATCAACAGCTATTGATTATAACAACCACAGAATATGGCTGTCTGATGGGGAAATTATAAAACTTGTCTGAAAGGTTGCAATCAATTTTAATGTTATTAAAAGACGGGTTTACAGTTGTGTCTAAGTTCAACTCTTTCATAAACATGAATATATTTAAGCATTTTTGTTTACAATAAGTTTTTATAAAACATGTAATTCTTCTGAAAGGCAAGCTAAATTTCCAACAGTCATCTAATGTTTTTCTTAAGACTTTAGGGGATGGTTCAGATTTTTGTGAGCCGTGTAAAAGATTTCTGAACAATTAACATCTTACCAGTTTTAGACAGCTTTTTGAATGACCTCAGTTTGGAGGAAGAGAGTTTATTCTGGGCAGATTAACAAGCTAACAGCAGATCTGAGTGTGGCCAAGAACAAAGTGAGACTGATGCTATCTAACAGGAAGTGCTACAGCTAGCTGCTGCTATTGATATTTAAGGTGGCAAAAACATAATAATCATGTAAAGCAAAATTGATGACAATGAAAAAGTTTATAAAATAGGGTTTAGTTAAACTGCTATTACTGCTTTTAAAGCCATTATTTTAAGAAAGCAACATTCTACTTTGGTTTTGACTACAGCTGATCGACAAACCGTTTTATCACCACAATGTATGTGTGCGCAACAGTCACAATGGAGGTCATGTGGTGTAGGAGGCAAATTAAACAAATGTGTTATCAAAGGACTAAACTACTTAACAGTTGTGTTTTATGGCTTTTATTTTGAAGAGTTTCTTATGACTGGCAAAATTTAAAACTTTCATTTTGTGGTAAAATTCCTGGGGTAATACTGGCTATGTATTTTGGAGAAGTGTTTCCATAATCGTGAAGCCCAGCTGGAATTAATCATTAGTTCATCAATTAAGTCAAAAAATGAACAAATTCTCCAAACTGATGTCATTCAAAGCTACCTACAACAGGTAAGATACTTACTGTCCATAACCTTATCATAGCACCCTACTTCAGAGAACCAGGTAAGAAATGTGCACAAATACAACTTTCATTTTGCTTTCCCTCTATAAATCATCTCAGAAAAAAAATCCTGTCCAGGGAAATTCAAAGAAACTGTTTTATATCAAGAAAACACACCCACTCAATTTACATTAGTCAGATTGTTCAGCTTCAAGTTAACGTCACCTTAAGGGCTTCTTGTTTTTTTTTTTTTCTGTTAAGATAACGTCTGAGCATTAATCTCAATGTCTTTACCATCATATCATATGCTGAAAGTGTAAACTCACTTTTTTAGATTTCTTAGGTAATAGTTCTTGCATTTTATTCATTTCAGTAAAAAAAATTACAAACAAAAAACAATACAAATAAAATCAAATTAAAGGCAACAGAAGAAGAAAAATATCTTATGACATCTGCTCCTATTTACAAAAAAATTATGTTAATTTCAAACAATAAAACAAAAAAAATAATGTTTTCATACTTCTGATGTTTTAAGACCAATATAAAAAAATGTCTTTACTGTTTATCAAAAAGCTGCAAATGACTACACAATAATTTCTTCCTAATTAGTTTGATTATAACATTTTATGAAGTAACTAGCAGAGAGCTGTGAGTGTGCATTGAGAGCTTTACCAGTTGAATCAGAAAATCAGAAAATCAGCAGCAACAAAACACAAAAGCAGGTAAACTGCCATCAGGAACTTTAAGTGAGCATTAACACTTATGACCCAACTGTCCCTCCTGTCAGGTTTTACACTCTTTCTTCAGCTACCAGTGCAACATAGATCACTTCTTCAAGCTCAAATAGGGCACTTAAAAATTGTTGAATAAAACCAGCTGATGGATTGTGATGCTGGAAACTTTTAGCCTTTTGACAGCTTTATACGTTTTCACATTCCCAAAAACTATTAAGGCAGAAACTAAAGACAACAAATAAGAAAGACATTTAATTGGCATTCAAATCCACAACCACATAATTGTATCTGAAGAATTGATCTCGTGTCCTTACATCTTCCCACCCACGTCCAGGAGTCCAGGAGATGACGTCCAAGAAGGGGTTCGCCAGGTAACCATCGCTGTTGAAGGAATAGTCTTGACGACCAAGCGTGATGTTGCCGAAATACCTGAAAGGTTGACATCAGAGTTGGAACAGACAGTGAGATGATGTGTAAGAAATTACATTGCATTTATACGATAAAGGTTCTCTTAAACGGTAAAAAACCTGAAATTCTTATGCTGCATTTGATTAAATAAAATGCCCGCCAGGTTCTTTTCGGCTTGAAGCTAATTCACAGGAGCTGTGTGGTGGCAGTCAGGGATTGTTAATCAAATCCACAAACAAATGATCACACACACGGAACTGTCAGGATCTTTGGAATCAAACGGCTCCTAATCTCTGCATTGGCTTCAATCTCTATAGTGGGTCTGATAATCACAGACGTGTCTTCGAATGTTCTCTTTATGTCACCTTCTTGGCTTCAAAACAAACAAGCACAAATCTGAAAGCTTTTTTAGTCGCATGACAGAAAGCTTCAGGTGGAACAGCAGCTTGCAGTTGCAGACAGTGAACAGCAGGTAGCAGTGCTAAAAGACTAGAAACACAAACACCTTCCTTCTCTGCTCCTGGACATAGATTCTAAACAGACAGAAGAATTCATTAATCATTTCTCCATAATTGCCTCTCTGTTGGTGCTCAGAATCATTTACAAAATTTACTGCAAATAAACTAATTAATTAGATATTCAGCCCACTTTCTGCAACCAAATTTAGCAGTTTCACTAATATCATGTGTGAGCCACATACTGTATATACATCTGGGCTAAGAATGACTCATTTAGAAAATGAATTGTGAAGATAACAAGAATCACTTGTGCGACCTGGTTGAGTGTGTTGCTGTGTGTTTGAACAGCCTATAAGGAATATATTAAAACCAGCTCATTAATATACATGAGACATGGTCTGCTTGCTACAGATGCTACGGTAATTTTGCCAACTCACAACTACACACAGCAACAACATCTATTTTGCATGGATGATAGCCAGACCAAATTCAGATATCTCCTGTGTGTGCGCTCTCTGACACTGGATCTGCTAATTCCACCCATAGATCTGTCAGCTAATTCTGGCCTTGAACCAAATTTTCTTTTCCTAGAATTTCACTTCATGCCGCCTCGATTTCTTGTTTCCTCTCATTTAATATATTTTGTCCAGAGCCTGCCAGCTATCTTGTACTTCTTTTGATTTTGTCATTTCGCTTATCGGTCTTACCCCAAGGTGTGTAAAGTACTTGAAAAAATGTGCAAGTAAAAATAACTTAACAGAAAATGACTTCAATGAATTTCATTAATAAATAAAAGGTATTTAAGTAAAAGTCATAAAGATGCTAACAATAATCGGGGGGGGGGGGTATTTTTAACACACTGAGAAATGAAGTGTTGAATTTAAAAGTTATGTCAACTGGTTCCACTAAACCGAGTTGATGGAATGTAAAGCAACTTGCTCAACTCTAGTTGATCTATGTGTTTCTTATGTGCATTTTAGCTTCATAGTGTTTTTATTAAGTGTGTTGTAATCATTATTTTGTAATTATGTAGTTTTACTTTTATTCCTTTAGGGTGACTTTTGCCATCAGTCTAAAAACTGCAGGTGAAAAGTAGCCTTCTTGCTAACTTTGGAATAGTTACAGATATTTTATTAATATAAATTGTCCCTGTAATAAAAAAATAAATAAAAATAAATGAACTATTTTCATGATGAGTTCTGGTCATATTTAAATTTGTAATTTGTAACAAGGTTAAATTTTGAGTAAAGAAGTAAAATGTTTTGAATGAATCAAAAAATATTGATAAAATTACAGTTCCTCAAAAAAATGACTTATGTGCTGTAAGGAAGTAAATGTACTTTGTTGATACACTCCTTTGGTCTTACCTCATCCTGCTTCGCAGTCTTTGGGTCTGATTGGCATCCGTCATGCACGTGGTGACAAAGTTTGGCCCACCCGGGGTTCCATATTCCTTCCGCATCGCCAATGCCCCGTGAGTCAGCACAGACACTCCCTGAGCGATCCGTCGGCGGGGCTCGTCCCTCCAGCCCTGAGGCCGTACGGCGAACAAGGCCCGAGGCAGGCTCTCCATGCCCAGACCCGAGAGAGCCGGGCCCACCGCGAACCACATGTGCGAGGGTCCGGCCTGACCGGCGGCCCAGGCAGCACGAAAGACCAGCTCGGCCTCCTCCTGAGAGCAGTACAGCAAACGCACCTGGGAGGACAGAGAGTAGGCAGGGAGGGGACAGGAACAGAGGGAGACACACACACATATACACTCCAGTGAGATAAGGAGGGGAAAGGGGAGACAAGGAGTAAGACAGAGGGTGGGAAAAGTTAGGGGAGGAAGGGGTATAGAGCTGGAGAGGAGGTGCACCTGAGTGGGAGAGGATGGAGATGGATAGAAAAAGCCATATCAACAAATAACAAGAACGCTGGAAGAGGTAAGGGAAGAGATAGCGGTAAGGCGATGTGATAAGGTTTATGGAAGTCGGGTGTGTGATTTAAAAAGAAAAGCGCACACACCAGAAAGAGGGAGGACTGTGTGGCTGCGTGTGCTAAGCTGGAGGTACAAAATGCAATGGAGGTCAGTGCTTAATGAGCTTGAGCTTGATGAAACAAGTTACTGCAATGAATAATGAAAACAGGGTGAAAACAAGAAAGGGGAAATGAAACTGCTGTAAGTGGTGGAGCACAGAAAAAAATTGCAAGGGGGGGTAGTAAAAAAGACGGAGAACAGCTGAGGGAAAACGAGGGGGAAAAAGGTTAAACTTCAAAATATGTTTTTATAAAAGCAGAGTAGAGGAGAGAGGACAACAAGAGACGATAGGAGATAAATGGAGATGGAGGGAAGTCATCAAAGATGGAAGTCACTCCTTAGAGATTGGACAAGGGAGGCAGGGGTGGTGAAGAAAAGCAAAAGGAATGCATATTTTTGTCAAATTGGTGCCAGGACAGACAAAAGACAGTTGCGAAAAAAAGGCGCAACAAAAGAGAGAAAAGTATATATATTAAAAAGACAATATAGAAAGACAACAGTGACCTTGGATGAGCTCTCTGCAGTAAATACTAAAGTATGAAGGGATGAGAAGAGAGGGAGGAGGAAGGGTGGAAATTGACCAAAATGGAGGTTTTAAGGGGTTACAAGGAAAATAGAGAAAGACGGAAAGACAGTATTGACAAGACAGAGATGGAGCTGAGGAGAAAAATGGAAGAAGACAGCAAGGGTAAACGCTGACAAATACTCAGAGAGAAGAAGGGATGCATTTAGCATGGAGGGAAAATGCAAAATCTGATGGACAGGAGGCAAAAGAACTGAAGGACAAACCGAGGGAGACAACTCTTTCAAGCAATAGAGAGGAGGTGGTCAGGGATACAGACAGAAAGCACATTTTGAGACTTGAGCCTTCATTGAATTTTGAACTGTAATGGCTTGGCAAAACAATTCTGCCTGTGTGCCAATAAACCTCCGGTGAATTAGGCAGGGACTGGGAGCGACGGTGTGTGTGTGTGTGTG